CTGCCTTTGGCTCAGGTCGTGGTCCCGGGGTCCTGGGATCAAGCCCTGCATCTGGCTCCCTGCTCCATGGGGAGCCTGCTTTTCCCTCTGCCTCTCTCTCATGAATAAATAAAATCTTAAAAAAAAGTAATAATACATTTAAGAAACCAACTTATTTCTGCTCTTGAGATATAAGTAGGAGCCTGCGAGATCTCCTTCAGCACATGCATATACAGCTAAACTAAGTAACCAAGAAATCTTTCCCAAAACAAGGCCAGGGGTACCTGCGTGGCTCAGTAGAACATGTGACTCTCTATCTGAGTCGTGAATTCAAGTCCCTTGCAGGGCATAAAGCTTACTTAAAAAAAAAAAAAAGGCCAAACTTTCTCCCTAAAATTTCTTCAAGCATAATCCTGGTTTAGCAAGAAAACTCATGGAAAGCAGGTTTGGGGGGAAGCAGGTGGACAGGCAGCACAGAATGATGATCAGACTACTATCAGTTTTTCTTCCAAAAGAATCTGAGAATTCCAACAGGAATCTTCACTATCATTTATCATTCATTGCCCAGGTACCAGGTATTGTGCTTAAGCATTTACTTATGCTACCTCATTTATAGCAATTTGTAAAATTAACTCAAAATATCCCAAATCAAGTTAAGCTGACATGAACATCCACCCGAGGAAGCATGACTGATACTATCTGTAACTGTCAGAGTATTAAGTTCAACTGTACTTTATCTGAAAAAAAGAATATGCTAATGGTAAGGAAGCAGTCTTGAATGATATATAAAATGGAACCTGGGAGAGAGAAGAAAACTACAGCATTCTCCAATCCTATCTAGGAGATAGGGGAGGCCAGGACAACTGGCCATTAATAAATCCAACTAACTCTCCTTCCAGGCCCAAATAAGCTCCCCATGTAGTTTTGCTTAGTGAACATTTGTACTATTTAATGATTATTTCTCACTTTAAACTGGCATTTTGGTTTATACATTAGACTCTAGAGAATCAGTTCCCTGAGCCTAATCACCTCTGGGTGTACTAACAAATCATATTTTAAGCCTATAAACCAGAAAACCAGGTTCTAGAGAATATATGTCCATACAACGATACTGTGAGAGTCTAGGAGTCGGCCTGGGGCAGATAGCTGGTCTCCCCTCTATCTTGTCAAACATCTATTCAAACCACAATACTTAAAAAAAAGAAAAAAATTAGCTGAGTCTGAGAGCCATCTTTTGGCTCCACAGACAGGGATCTATCTCGGAATGGCCCCACTGTACTAAGTGAATCCCTAAAGCAGTCCCCTGAAACAGAAAGAGCTTTCTCACTGTCCTGTGCATTAATCAATCTACAGCTTTCTGAACGCAGATACCAAGAACCTCTAATGAGATTATCTTGAAAACCATTTTAGCACATTAGAAATACTCGGTGCTTAAGGAAGATTAAAGAATGGATCAATCTTGTAGAAGACAGAGCTGAAATAAACTGTTCCCAGCTACTGCAGGGATCAGGCCAAAGAGGATCCAGATAAGTCAGGCAGCGGAACTCTGAGAAGCCCTGGGACCTCAGGCCAGTTCCTTAGCTTGCCTGGGCCTTGGTCTCCTCCTCTGTAAAATGAGGGGATGGGACTAGGTAATCTGGAAGGTTCCTTTTCATCCTAAATTCCATTCCAATTGGTTCCTTCAGTGATAAATGGGAAAGGTACAGAAACAAATTTACCAAGAAAACTGAAAAGTAGCTTTATATAGTACATTTCTTCCCAAGTGGAATCTCTTTTACCTCCATTACAATAAAACTAGATCCAATGAGATAAAAGAACATTAGCATATAGAGTGAAACATCAGGTCACTACAGGGGTAACTGAAGAATGAAAACAAAAAGGAAGACTTACGTGTGTCTTTCATATCTGAGGGTTTCTCGGATGGACCATGCCACCTGGTATGGCGAGGCCTGCTCTGAGTCCTCTAGTTCCTCCCCGCTCTCTTCGGACCAGTCCAAACCTGGGACATGTGAGAAGATATTGCAAGTTAAAAAAAAATGTTTTATTTAAAATTTAGAAAAAAAGCTACCAAAAATGCATAACCCAAAACTTATAGCACATACTATCATCACTGTATGAATAAATGCCTCTCTATTCTGACAAAAATATTAATAATGATGTATGACATACACTCAGGTTTAAAATAATGACACTGTAACAAAAAAAAGCTATATTCCAAGGATGAACTTCTTCGTCAGACTCTTCACAAATGGAGCAGAAACATAAGCAGAGATTCCAGTCCTTCCCCCCACCAAAACACCATACATTAAACATCATACATAATGTCAGAAAAACATAAAACAAGGCTAATGTATGTTTAGGTAAGAAAGAAGTCAAGGGGCGCCTGGGTGGCTCAGTTGGTTAAGCTTCTGACTCCTGGTTTTGGTTCAGGTCATTGGAAATAATGCAAGACATGTGAGCAACATCC